GCGACACACCAAAGTGGTGTGACCCACTCTGCCAAAGGTGGGAAACTTGTCAGATACAGAAAAAGCACAGTCCTGGAATGCTGTGGTTCTTACGGGTTTCACTGTATCTAGGATTTTATGATACAGTCAAAGGAGCTCTGGTAAGCGTAGTGGTTACGAATTGGGCTGCTAACCGCAGGGTAAGCAGCTCGAAACTACCAGCTGTTCAGTGGGAGAAAGATGAGGCTTTCTGCTCCCGTAAAGATTTACAGCCTCGGAAACCCTGTACAGGGTCGCTATGGGTCAGAAATGACTCCACAGCACATAACAAGAAGCCTTTAGTGACTTTTGATTATCATGGGTTTGAGAGCTTCCAGGTTCAGAGCGCTGTGGTAGGGTTTCAATTTTCGTTGTAAAATTAACATATATTGGCCTAGATCTGAGTACTTTCAAACCTACTGAAATTTGCCTAGCAAATTGGAAGTCTCATTAAGAGCTGATTTTGCATATGCCAGCCACAGTGGGGGTACATTATTAGTTATCAGAGAAGGAATACACAAAAAGGGGCTTCAAAAAGTCCATGGAAAATGGAATGAAAAAATAGTGCAATTTTTCCAGGAACTTTCTTAAGCCCCCTCAGACAGACATGTAAGACAGTTTCAGAAATTATAGTAAACCACACGCAACTGTTTGCTCTGGGTAGTATCTGGGGAGGACTGCTGAATTGACACAGTAGGCTGGTCACCCTGCCATGTGGAGGAAGGGGGTCCCCCTCCACCCCAAGTACCTGGCACCACGTGGCTGCTGCCAAGTAGAGGTGTAGCCCTGGTGGTGGAGCCAGGCTAGCGGCCATAGTCAAGAGACCTGCTGTGTGGGACACACAGGGCATTCTGAGACAGGCTGGCTTCCCAGCAATTTGGCTTTGGGGATGGAATGCTAGGCTGCTGGGATGGTGGAAAACTGTCCACAGGCATCAACAGCACGCATCAAAGGGAAGGCTCCCGCTCACCGTGGAGACATCCAGGGCTTCAAACTCCTCTTGACAGTCTGAATTTTCTGTGCTGGAAGCTTCCATTGACTCTCTCAGGGAAGGTGGGGCAGACAGCGCTCTCACCTGCTCAGAAGCTCCTCTGCTGATGAACAGGCCACTGAATGGCTGGGCTGTGGCCCGAGCACCCGCATGACCCTCCGTTTCCTGGGTTAGGCTGGTGTTGCTCATCCAGGCACTACTTGAGAATCACTGGTGGTGGTCTTACACAGAAGAAAAACCTTCAGCATCTTCATCTACTGGGGGCTGTGGTAACTCTTCTCTGCTTACAGCGCAACTTCATTCAGCTTCTCCCTCCAGACACCCACCTTTCATCCAGAGACTGGTCACAGGCAGGGGCTCCGCTTCATCAGCCCATCTAGCCGGATTTAAACAATTTGTCTACAGCCTTGAATTCTTCAAACAAGAGCTTCACCACCTTCCCTGTACCTTAGCATCTGCAAAGGCTTTTCTATCATCAATGGACCACGTCCAATGTCAAGTACACTAGCTTAAGGGTGTTGACAAGATCGCAATAAGCAATCTCAAAATTAATTATATATATAACTTTAGTCGGTGTGAGGCTCAAAGAGATCTAATGTTCTTGTCAGAAGGCCAGTCCTAGAAAGTATGCTCTGCCCAAAGTGTGCGGAAGATCCAGTGAGCTGGGGAACATGAAGCCACATAAAAGGAGTATGTTGCAAGATCCAAGTGATTTAAGATGACTTTCTTTGACCAACCTCCTAGGACTCTGGGACAAGCAGGTTTAATGTCACCCAACTCTCCCTAAGCTGGGAGGGGGTTTGAATGTTTACTGCACAACACTTGCCAGGGGCTGAGCCAAGAGCAAAATCTCCTTGTAAGTAACAGTTTTCATTCTAACTAAATCCTTGAAATAAACTCTTAACTCAATCTGTGAAACAAATGAATTTTCTTTCCATGTCTCACCCCCCCATCCCTGCTGACGTAGAATATAAAAAAACGCTGCAGACACATCACCTATATAGCACAATTCAAGTTTATTCCATTTGTTCTTGCAACACAAAACTGAAACACAGTATTAGTTAGCATTCGATGTACATGAACTAGTAGGCTAATATGAGAAACCCAACAGTGTCAAAAGTATTACATGGTGGAAGGAAGAACTCAATATATCAAGATGCACAGAGCACTAGTCTCCTTCGTTAGCGCTGAGGAGGACAGGACCGTCTCTCCATTGACAACATCGAATCAGGACGATCTGCAGTCTTGAGATTCTGCATGCAAAACACGGCAACTGCTCCTGTCCGCGCGCATTCTCACCAGCTTCTTCTTGGCACAACTGCATGTGCAATGTTGCCGGGAAGAATACTGCCACAAGGGGCCAGGGGGAGTTGTAATCAAGAAAAGCCAAACTCAAATAGGTAGAGAGCGTTAAAATCCATTTTTTAGGACATTACCACACTGCACACCTTTGTCCCTCTGCTCCAGGCCCACTGGGTTCGGGGAAGTGTGCTTCCTGGCACAGAAGGGCACCAGGATGAGTAGGCGCTGCGCCTGCCCAAGAACCCAGGCGGCAGCTGCAAGGGGCAGGTCTGCAAACACCAACAGGCCAGCCGCCTGCTGAGACAACTGGCTTTATATAAAACTACAGACCATGCACGTGTTTTCTGCAAGGTTAGACATCACGTCACTGGAGAAGAGAACTTAACTGGACCCTTTTGCTAATAATGCACATAGTACCAAAAAGCAGACATGGTTTTAGCTTCCTTTATTCAAAATAAGTACAGTAAGTGAATTTCTCTGCCAAGTGGTTCAGGACTACATTATAAATAACCTAGTTTGAAGAAAAGAAGGAAAATGGTAGCCATCTTGGTCAGTCTAGTCTACTCTATGTTTCTATGTTATTTTCTCAAGCAAGGCTTCATCATCAGGGTTTACAAAACGGCGGAGACCCAGCGCAGGGCGGATCAGCGCCTGCTGTGGGGCGAGGAGCCCCGGGGAAGCTGCACAGCTGGGAGGGCGGGAGGAGGCGACCAGCTTGGCCAGGACAGGGTCATGCGCTGTCTCCAACAGCCAACTACAAGAACACACGATTTGAAAAGCAAGGTGGAAGTCGTGTCGAAGGTAAAATTCAAGTCGCCCAGGCCTGCTTGCCCAGTGCTTGTGTTCCGGGTGGACTGAGTGCCGCCACTGTCCAGGGGGTGGACTCAGTGACATATGACTTTAAAACCACACCCACCCCACTGAGCCCATCCCTTTCACCCAACTCTAATGAGACAGCAGGAGTAGCCAAAGACCAGGGGGCCTCAACAAGGTCTTGGAAAGTTCCATGATCTACTGATTCCATTTTTCCAAGAACTTTTTGAAGGCCCCTTGAATAATAAAGCATTTAAACCACCACTTTGTGATTGTTTCCTTGGACGAAGGAGAATTGTCAGGTGAGGCGAATTGTGAGTGAAAAAGCCACAGGATAAAAAAGGGGGGTATTGGGGGAAAAATAGACACACACATCCACACACCCACCAACCAATCAGCAACTGATCGCTAGGATTTGTTATTAGCCAGGCCAACTGTTCTTGGTAATCACTCAACCCTGCCGCACAAGGCTACACTGCCTTAAAAAAAAAAGAAAAATCACCAATAATGTTTTATCTTCCACAATTTGAATATAAGTCTCTATCCCACCCTGCTGCCCCTTTTAAAAAAATTTGAGGTACATTCAATTATTGCATGACTTGGCTAAGGAAAACTCTAATATTTTGAGTCAGCTTCTCTATGGGTAGCAGGTCAAAGAATCGAGTTGTGTAGTTTGAACTCACTGAACCACTTCTGGAGAAGGACCACGTGGGCCCCCCTAGGGCACTGTGCTCCCAGAGCACAGAAGGCCAAGTAGAAGGCGCCACACTTTACGCAAGACAGGACTTCTAAAGCAACCCGCTATGCAGGTGGGCTGCCATGTGTCCAGAGAAGCCCATCAAGTCTGCAAGGACATCTGATAGCAAGCATTGGATTGGCAGGGATGGGTTAAATCTGCGCACATCTCACCCCCAATAGTGGTGGTGTAACAAGTAACCAGCACTCAAGCTGGGTCTGAGAGGCATTCTCAAGAAGGGTTTCCGATTCTGCAAACACAACTTGAGTCCAATTCACCCAACTAGCAAATGAAGCAAACCCAGAGGCCTGAGGACAACTGCTCTGTGTGCAGGGTACCAATAGGCTTATGGCTGATTCTACTGTAAATCCCCTTTTCACCACCAGCACAAGTCTGCAAGTGTTTCAATGTTAGATAATGCCTGGGCCTAGAGGAGAAACAAAATGAGGCCTACTGGAATGATTGCTCCTGAAGCCTGTCGAAAGTGGACGGATTTTATAAATAACACGAGTCAGTTCTAGCTAAAGACACGTGAGTTCCACGGGGCAGGGAGAGTTATTCCAAAGTTGAGTCATCCGGCAAAGTCGGGGTGTGCCCGTCCTCACCCTGACTGAGTTTAGTGTCAGAGGAAAGATTTGGTCCCCAACCACAGGCCGCGCTCCTGACAGTACCAGCAAGTCTCCTGGGAAGCGCGCGCTTAAGGCAGAAGGCTGGAGTGGGGTGCTTTTTCTCAGCACCCGGGTGGAACCCCCCTACAGGTGGGGCTGCCCTGTGGGTGCAGCTGGCCTTGGTAGCATCAGCTCTCCAACACAATCTAGTTCACAAATTAGCTAGGGAGCTGAAAAGGTCACGTGTGAACGTCTAGTTGCTCTTCGCTCTCCCTTGGGCATTAAGCTGCGGACTTTAGTAGAACTGGGGGAGAGGCAGACTCGTTCAGGAATCCTGGTAAAGCCCGATCGGGTTTCCCCCTCCTCCAAACCTTTTGTTTCTTTCCCGGAAGTCTGATTGGTTATGAATTTTGCTCTCCCCTCACCCCTCATCAAGTATTTAGCTGAAGAAGCTGGCAGATAGAGAGGGACAGACAGACAGGCAGCAGTGAGGCCACACGGGTCGTCCTCCAGGACCGCCGCTCCACGGCCATCACTGGAGCAGCGCTTTGATGGCCTGGTTGTCGGTGGCTTCCAGAGCAGTGAGGCCGTCAGGGCCTTTCACCGTCTTATCCGCACCCTGGGGAGGAGAGGAAAGCTGTTAGCACTTTGAGAAGAGTGGGTTCCTGGCTTAGGCTAGTGTTTACACAAAGAATTTAATCCCTCTACTGATGGAGCCCATTCTACTGAGGAGAAAGCTGAAGGGCTGTGGACTATGCGGTGAAAATGCCATTCAATTTTCAGGCACAGGAATCGGGACACACGCACACCAACCAAACAGGCGAGGACTCTTCCAGGTGTCTGTTTACACTGCCACGCCATACAGTGCTCTGATGAGCGAGCCGCAGATCCCTCTGTGCACAATGAAACTGGGAAAAAAGACATCGCTTTTGCTGAAGAAGAAAGTATTCCCGTGACTAGCTCAGTTTTCTTTCTTTCTAACACTGTTTGGGAGGTGACTGAGTGTGCACCTCTCTAGAACTTACAAGCTTTCTACTTCAGATAGGCTCCCTTGCCTATAGAAATGTCGAAAACTGGCTGTTTTCCCTGTGGACAACTGGCAAGGCTGGGGGCTTTGAGGGCCGGAGCCCCCTGACACTCCGGGGAAGCCCTTTGGCTCCAGGTGCAGAGACCAGACTCCTAACCCCAGCTCTAGGCTGTGTGGGCCAGATTCACGTTCTGTGGAACCTGGGACTTTAGTTCTCAGAATGTCTGTCTACGTGTTATTTCGATCACGGCCCCCTTTCTAGAAGGAGCACCCCATTCACGCATGCAGGAATCCTCTCTCTAGAGCTCATGGCTTTATCCCTGGGACCTCACCAAATGCCCAGTGCCCAGTAGGTGCCCCATGACATGCCGAGAGCATACCAGTTGGTTTGTTCTGCTCCTCCTAACCAGGCCCTTGCCAGACCTAACACTGTGTCTCCCGTCTGAGGGTTCTTTGCTAGCTAGCTCCAGCTTCCCAGCCTGCACCAGTGTTTACTGAGCACAAAGTCTCTAGTGTCCCCGTCCCCTCATCAAGCCTCATCCTTCCTTCTGCCTGTTCCTACCAACACCCACCAAACCCACCGCATGGCACCCACTCTGACTTGGAGCAGCCATACAGGGCGGAGGGAAGCAGCCCCATAGGAGTCCAGGGCTGTAAATCTGGCGGTCTCATTGTTCTCCTACAGAGCAGATGGTGGGTTTGAACCACCACCCTTTTGGTTATCAGTCAAGAACGTAACCACTATGACACCAGAGCTCCTCTGGGCAACACATTACGTCTAAACTCGGCCTAAATGATCCTTCAAAGTCGAACTCTTATCAAACTCCTTGGTTTCTTCTATTCAGTTTTTACTCAGATCCTATGGCATCTCCCACAAATCCCTGAGCTTGCCAGATGCCATGCCTTTGTACACACTGGGCTTGACAAGGATTAAATGCCTTTCCCCTTTTCTCTGGCAAACTTGTTCATTTGTTCAACCAATCTTCAGAGCTCCCTCACTCTGCCAGCTTTCCTGTTCATTCTCAACAGCCCAATTCTTTTCAGAATATCCTTTCTACTTGCTGGAGCCAATTTCTGATACTTGAAATAAAAAAAATCCTTAGCTGACTGGAAAAAACAACAACAACAAAAAAACGAATTTGTATAACCATCCTTTTTTTCCAAAACGATAACAACTTATCACAGTAAATTCAGACTACACACAGAATAGCCATAAACTCCATATTCCATTAAGCCAGATCCAAATGATATTAGATTTGTGCTTTTTCTACTCTTCTGTCTACAATCTGCTCGTGTAAAAGCATTTCTTTGGAACAGAATGTGCTAACCACAAGAGCCAAATGTTTGAGCATGCGCCCGGTGGTGACGGAGAGAGGTGAAGAGGTCCCCGAAGAAACACCACTGTCATTCTCAGGAGTAAGAGCTGAGATGTTACGTGTCAGCCACTGATCTTCCACAGTCGTCTAGACAATCCAGTGCTGTTGGACAGTATGTGGGTAAAACTGGGGAAGAGAATCTATCAGGTTCATGTATCTCCTCTGGAGCTCCGAGGGCCCCACACACTATAATAAATACACAGACAGGCCGCGAGAAGTAGCTGGGTAAATGAGCCTCGGAAACATGTACTGAGGCTATCTGATGTTATCCCGAGCAAAAAGGAGGCTTTTGTTGTGAGGCTGCTGGTTCTCTTCAGACACATTATCTGCACACACAGCAGCAGCTCGGCTTCCATGCAAAATCAATAAAAAATGTAGTGCTTCAATATACGATCAAACACTAAAACTCCTAACTACTCAAAACCCAGCATCGTAAACACTGACTTTTAAACTTTGTTTTTAAAGTCTTGGTAGACATTTCTGTGTAAGGTGCTAGAGACACTGGTTTACCTCCTTAGAATGTGATCAATTACTTCTAGAAAGAAAGCATTTTAGAATCAAACACAAAACGACTGCCTGAAAAGATCCGACTACAACGAGTCTAAAGTCACACCCACAACAAGGTCTCTCAACTACCCCTAGTAGGACAGACACTTCTGAGATCAGGCGTCCAGTCACCTTGTGCTGGTTTGGGTGAGGATGCAGGTCTGAAAGTTTTGAAATCACTGCAGGAGCTGTCCAGAGCCCAAGTGCTTCCTCACCCACTAGAGGCAGCGCTGGGGCCCCCACACAAAAAGTGCCAACCACCGCCTCCCAGTCCTCTCTACTTCTCTGGGTTTGGTCTTTCAGACCTCAGACACCTCACTCATGGTTGTGGGGCATATTTAGGAAGTGGACAGGTCACAATTCAGGGGTAGGAAGGTCCAGGGCACAGTTCTTCCAGTCAGGGAGGCCTCTCTTTGCCTGGTCAACATTACAAAATTCTCTTATGACTGCTGATAAATGCCCACAGGACACACCACTCCACAAAATCCTCAGACTGAAGTCATCCGGCTCTAGCTCATGGGCTAGCAAACCTGCCAACAAGTCTCCTGCCCAAATGCACTCCGCCTTCCTCGCTCCGCTCTGTAGGCTGGGATACCCACTGCTGGCTACTGCTCTGCCCCTCCTCATCGTCACAGATTTCTGTCCCTGGGTTGAGGAGGTCCAATCTCGGGGCCCAATTGGCTTTTGACTTGATGGTAGTGAGTCCCCGCTCCTGCTTCTGAGATGGCTCATTTTAAGCTCACCAGGATGGTAACACTGACCACTTCCTTTGTGACAGTTCAGGTTTTGTGTCAACTTGCCTGGGCCAAGATTCCCAGTGGTTTGTTAGCTGAGATGTGGATATCCCCATGGTAAGCTATAATACAGTGCAGTTACCTGTATGATGGTTGGTTATGAGCAGCCAATCAAATGAAACGATGTTTTCTTGGGGGCGTGGCCCGCTTCCAATGTAATGGACACTCTAGCAAAGCTGGCTTGCTTTCTGCTGGGTCAAGACCTTGCATCCGCCTAGTCCTCCGAGCTCGGATTCTTCGGATTTGAGCCTGTGGTCTACTTTACTATTTGCCTGTCTGTAGATCTTGGTTCATCTGACCCAGACTAGGGATGTTTCCATCTCTACAATGTTGAACCATTGCCTTGATCTACATCTCTCTCTCTATACACACCTAGATGTTTCACTGCCTTTGTTTCTTTAGAGAGTCCAGCCTAAGGCACCGCTCATTAGATTTCCAAGTGTTTACAGTCACAATCCTGGTAACAATCATTCACAAGTGACATCAGCATCTTCCCCACCTTCTCTTACCCTGATCGGTCGGAAAAAGGCATTTGGCGGAGGGTACCAAGACTGTGGCTAGGAGGGACATTAAATAATTCACTACACTGCAGGTTCTTCTCAGAAACATCTAATGCAGACTTAGAATCTTGTTTCAAGTACTCTCAGAAACAGAAGAAAGCAAGAGAGGGAGAGAACCTACTGGAGATCAAGAAAGTCAGTCTGATAGCAGTAATTTCTGACAAAAGCTTGAAATGTTGGAGCAAGAAAGCAACTGAAATTCAACCACCATCAAAGCTGAGCTCTGAGCCAGAGCTACTCAGACGACAGGACTAATGACTTATGTTTCCGCAGCACCCAGAGGCCCAACAGCTGCCACTAATGGGGGCACTCTCCATTCAGAACAGGATAAAGCGTCTTGATGTTTAAGAAGGCATCGATCGGTACTTTCTCCCGATTTCTCACCACTGGAATCCCATGACATCGATGTGCTAAGAGGCTGAGCTCTCCAGGCCAGGTGTTTGCCCCTGAGCCTGGCACCACGTAGTAAACCCCACCCCCCGCCCCATCTAGGGCACTGTCAGCTCGCACCTATAGCCAATATTTCAGTGAAAAAATGTTTTCATGACTATTGCCTTTGGGTGCTGGAATCATTACATATAAACTTACGGATACGCTTTAACACGCTGTTGCTCAGTGCTATTGACTTGGTTCTGACTCATAGCGACCCTGTATATAGTTTCCGAGGACTAGCTGGTGGGTTTGAACTGCTGACCTTGTAGTTTGCGGTCCAGTGCTGATCCTACAGAAGCACCACACCACATATATAAACATACAAAAATCATAAAGACAATACTATTAAGGGATAATACATAAAGGAGATTGTAATCACTGATATGGAATGAAGTGTATGATTGTAAAGTTGGGGATCTGCTCTGTAAACCTTCACTCAATTCACAATAAAATGTTTTAAAAAAACTATACACACATACATATATGTGTAGAATATATACTCTGACATAAGTGGTTGGATGACAATGGTATTTTGTCAGCTGTGCCAATAGTTCCATTGCTGAAGGTTCTAGATCATCTGAACTGTCCCTAGGAACGGGGAGGGCTTGTCTAGTCAGATTAGTAGTAATTGTCTGTGTTACTAACTGCCGTCGAGTCGCTGAGTTTGAACAACCTTGTAGTCCAAACTGGCCTTCCGGTCCCATGCTTTACCCCACAGCTCCACACCAGGACCTTTACCCAGGCGACACCTCAATGCTTCTTGACTCTGCCTATCAACTTAAGCCAAGTGAGCCTCATTTGGGCCCATGCTTTCAAGCAACTCGGTGCCACCGAGTTGTTACTCATAGTGAGCGACCTTACACATAGCACAACGAAACACTGCCCGATCCTGGGCCAACCTCCCAATTGTTGCCAAGCTTAAGTCCATCAATGCTGCCACTTTGCCAATCTATCTCGCTAGGGGTCTCCCTCTTTTTATCTGAATCTCCACCTCACCAAACATGATATCCTTCTCCAATGACTGGTCTCTTCTGATATGTCCGAAGGATGAGAGACGAAGTCTGGCCATCCTGGCCTCCAAGGAGTACTCTGGATGCACTTCTTCCAACACAGATCTGTTGGTTCTTTTGGCAGCCCATGGCACTTTCAATATTCTCCTCCAACACCATAACTCAAAAGCATCAATTCTTCTACAGTCTTCCTTATTCACTGTCCAGCTTTAGCACACCTTAGTCCTCCAGCTGACATCTTTGCTCTTCAACACTTTAAAAAGGTCTTGTGCAGCATATTTGCCTAATGCAAATTTCTTGACTGCTGCTTCTGTGAGTGTTGATAGTTGATCCAAGAAGAATGAAGTCCTTGACAACTGCAGTCTTTTCTCCGTTGATAAGAAATGTTTATTGGTCCAGTGGCGAGGAGTTTTACATCGAGACACAATCCATAGGGAAGGCTGTGCTCTTTGATCTTCATCAGTAAATGTTTTAAGCCTTCCTCATTTTCAGCAAGCAAGGTTGTATCATCTGCATGTCACAAGTTGTTAATGAGTCTTCCTCCAATCCTGATTCTATGTTTTTCTTCATAGAACCCAGTTTCTCGGATTATTTGCTCAGCATACAGGTTGAATAAGTATGGTGAAAGAATACAACCCTGTCTCACACCTTTCTTAATTTTAAACTATGTTTTAGTTAAGGCAAAACTCCAGTCATCCTTCCACTATGAAAACTTTTGACAATTTCTTTCCTTTCTCTTCTTGTCATCTTGTCTAGCTCATCCCTGAATTCTTGGGGCAACTTTAACATCAGCACTTCCTGCTTCTCCAGTTACATACGTTATGCCATCCAAATCGGTACTAAAAGCTGTGAGATCCGCCTTTGCTGGAATTAAAGTACGTGGGGCAGTCTTCTCTGGATTGGCCCTCTCCTCTTCTTTGCTCAAACTGTCCATTTTATGCCACTCCTTTAACTGCCTCCAAATCTTACTCTTACCCTTAACAGACGTGACTGGATGGTACAGTCTTTCCTCACGTGCTATTCTGCCGACTCTTTTCCCTTTGCCACTGATCTTAGTGAGCATCTTAATACCCACGTCTAGCGCTTTCTTTTGTGGATAAGACCTTTTGGGGGCATGCCTTTTTTTGCTAGACATATTGTTGGGAGTTTAAGGAGGTGTTACAGTGTGAGAACTTTGAACAACTCGGCATTACAATCCTAGCTGTTGCTTTGTATCATAGGAAATGCTGAGTAAAATCACAGTATAAAACCCTATACAGGGTTGCTATGAGTCAGAACTGGCTCAGTGGCACATAACAACCTAGGCCTGGCCTACAATGATGTCAGCATCAGTTGTGAAACCACAAAGTCTGAGTAGTATGCTGTTAAGAGTTGGACACGGTCCAACTTTCTATCTGACCCACCTCCTACCACGGACTTCACTGGAGACCTGGTTAGGTGCTATAGTGAACATGAGACAGGAAGCAGCGCTGCTTGTTACTCACAAGAGGTACTCTGCTCCCACACAAAAGGACAGTCCCAAGTGTCGGGACGACTTGTACTTCCTTACCTAACTGTGTCATGCTGTGACTCATGGAGACACGGCATGTACAGAGCAGAACTGCTTTGTCGTTTTGCTATGACCCTGATCCTTCACAAGGCCTCTGAGGGGGTGCAAATGGCCAAGCTGTCGCTAGCAGATGAACGCTGCGCTGCTGGCATCACCCCGGGACTTCTGTTGTACAGACAGAGGTCCTTAAGCTCAGAGAGGTTAAGGAACATGCCCATGGTCAGCTAGGAGTTAGACTCATAGTGACCCTGTACAGGGTTTCCGAGGCTATAAATCTTTACCAGAGCAGAGAGCCTCATCTTTCTCCCGTGGAACAACTGGCAGTTTCAAACTGTTGACCTTGAGGTTAGCAGCTTGATTTGTAACCACTAACCTATGAGAACTCCTCAGACATTGGCTACCCAAAATGGTGGGCCACAAAGACACAAAGGCTTACAAGCTTTCAAGAGGGAGCCTAGTTCCAGAGAGTGCAGGGGAAGGTCGAATCTCCACTGAGTGGTTTCCAACCTGTCTAGATTGCAAATGTAAAGGTAGACATTTTGTACCAAAAGGAGGGGAGTGGTTGATCTTGCAGTCCAGGAGCGGAGGTCCCTGGGACCTTCAAGGAAAGAGAGCGGACCGCGGGACCCTACCCAGAGAAACAGCAACGCCAGAGATGGAGGCAGAGACGCTGACGTGGACAGACGGAGTGGCTAGGGTCTCTGGACTCTAGGAGGGAGAGGGGCTGTGTGTTGACGGCTGGGGGCCAGGCTTGGAGGTGTACCCTTTGGCTGTTTGATAATGCATGCAGGGAACTGTAATCATTGCAATGAAACAAAATAAGACAGGATGAATGTAAAGCTAATGTTCTCCCATGTAGACTATCACATAATTCACAATAAAAACTTAAAAAAAAAAAAAAAAAGGAGGGGGGGTCCAAAACAGCAGCTTACCCCTACAGCCACCAGGAAGATGCGTGACACTGGTTGCTTGGCCACCCCGACCTGTGCTGCCTTCTGTTGACAGAACTCTGACTTCTTGTTGGCAAGGTTAGCTCTTCCTTTCCTGTGACAGCCCAGGATAAGGCTGTTGGCTTAATTAACAGCCATGCTAACGATTTTAGCTGCGTCCAGAACTAGACCCAAGGGGATGCCAGGCAGCCCTTTCCAGAGGCAGCACCGGGACAAATCTGAATAGTTCAGAGCAGGGGCTGTGAGCAGAGGAGTGACGACACGCTGAGGAGGAAAACCAACTGAGAGAGACAAAAAGAATCCAGATCCTCGTCATGTGGGCTTAGGCCCAGGGTCCAGTGTGCCTCAGTGAAACTCCTTTGCTCCCTGTCTGAGTTGGGTTAGTTCCCTAAGGAGCCCTACCTAATACAATATGAAAACCATAAATTACTGATGAACTACAAACCAATACTTGGAGCCTGTGGCAATCGGTTCTTAATGTGGTAAGTAAAACTATTCTCCAGTGACAACATTTTCAAAGGTACATTTTAATCTTGTCCTGGGCATGGGGGAAGGAGGGTGGGCAGCAGGAGAAAGACACAGAGAGATGAAACCTGTGTGGGCACATCCCACAAGAGATTCTGGATCCACTCCAGGGTAAACGATAGTATCTCCACTACTCACATTAGTATGGTGTGTGTTCTTGTTAAAAGCAATCGAGTTGGTTCCGGCTCATAGCAACTCAAACAGGGTTTCCCGAGGAGCAGCTGGTGGGTTTGAAGCATTACAGTGCCACACCAGGGCTCCAGTATGGTGTGTGGTGTGTGGTGGTGGCGGTGGTGATGTGCAGTGGAGTCGGTTCCAACTCACAGTGACCCTGTATAGGATTTCCAAAGCTGTAAATCTGTACAGGAGCGGAAAGTCTCGTCTTTCTCCTGTGGAACCGCTGGTCGTTTTGAATTGCTTTCCGTGAGGTTAGCAGCCTGACTCATAATCACTATGCTACCAGAGCTCCTTAATATGGGGTGTAGTGGCTAGAAACTGCTGCTGATATATTCCAAATTAAAACACAAACACACACTTTAATTCATTAATTGTGTTTTAACATAATGCAACAGGCAAATATTCCCACTTTTAGAGGACCAGAATTCAATGCTTTCACAAACGATCTAAAGAGACAAACATGCTACCTACCTCCTTGCCCCATTTCCCTCAAATCTTACTGAAGCTAATCCTGCACTTTGCTGAGGTTTACTGAGCACTTATTATAGGTCAAGAACTCTGGTAAATGTTGTAAATACATTCTCATTCAATTTCGACTTCTTTGCTGTTGGTAAGTGCAGTCGAGTCCATTCTGACTCATCTGTGGGTGTGAACCACAGACCTTAAACAGCGGGCAGTCCAGTGCTAATCCTGGTGTCACACCAGGACGCCTTGCTTCTTTAGAAGGCTTCTTTTCAAAGCCCAAGTGAGATGATGTGACACACGTTCCAGAGTATGGTCATGTTACGTTACAGGAAGCTCTCACTGACACTGGGATCTGACGTATAAAGAAGATGGCCCTCTTCCAACACCTGCAGGTCCCGGCGCAGGGTACTAGCATGGTTGGAACTGTGTGGTTAATTCCTAGGGCTGGATTTTGAACTTTAATAGCAAAGACAACACTGGAAATTAAACTTACCGTACCTCAGCCACATCAACAAACCGGGGGCATCAGCTAGCTGGCTCCCTCCAATAACCTTGCCCACAGTGCCAGAATGCAAACGGTTCCTAGGTCACTAAGCTTAGCTGACTTCTGTTTCATAGCCAAGATCTCCTCAGTGAAGCAACAGTGTGTTGGTTTATATTCTAGACTGAGCACCTTACCCACCCTAACTGGTAACCGTCTATAGACGGACTATTTGGAGCAGCCTCAATTTTAGATACTGTTTCGCCGCTAAACTTTGCGCCCTTGCTGCCAATCAAAAGTTCAAGAAAGGAATGAACCACGTCATGCTGGGCTTAAGCAGGCCCACCACAATGGGAACGCTGTGGAGTCGGGCTCTGGAACTCACCTTTGATACAAGCAGTTTCACACAAGAGATGTGGCCCTCATAGACGGCAGAGAGAAGAGGGGTGATGTGATGCTTGTCCGGAGCCTGGAAACGACAGGGACAGATGAACCACCTCGTCCACAGACTTCATTCCTTCCTTCTTTTAGATCTCATTAGGGAACTCGTCAGTATTTCAAAATTAGCCTTTACCTAGTTTCCCCTCCACACAAACACCACCCACGTCCACCCATTTCTTGTCTAAAAGCTGGCAGAGCCTGCCATGCCAAGACGCTGGTCCTCCTTGGGAGCTGCGCAGCTCTAAGCTTGATGCCGTTCACATGGCTGAGCCTCCATGGGCCCCAACTGTGGAAACTGCCCCCGAGGTCCAGGAAAGGAAGTGGGAGAACACGCTCACAACTAGGCCAGGTGACAGGGCTCTGAAATGGGAAAAGCTCATCTCCCTTGCTGCCATGGTTACTTGAACATTTTCCCCAAACTCTAAAATGTGGAAAGGCTCCAGTCAGGAGACGATGACTCCTGACCACACGCCCACTGCCTTTTCCCAGCCCACCAGCTGACAATGGACATGGCTGTCTGATGGCCAAGTCCCAGGCTCTAGCAGGAGGATGCCGCCTACCTCCTACGGCCAGCACCGACTCTGCAAGCTTCAGAGCAGGGACAGCAACAACCCAGGGACTTTTCAATGCTGCCAGTGGAGCCCTCTGTCGACAGGAGGCCTGTGAGTCACTAGCTCTAGTCTCATGCAAACTGCAAAGCTCATTGTCTGACCCATTTTTATTCTTAAAATAGTCAGCTTATTTCGTTTAGTTTGAAAGTCTGCGCTATCTGCTTTCTGGTTACAGGAAATTTGGATGGTATTCTTTCTAAAGAGGAGGTCCTGTAAGGACTGATTCACAGACTGGTAGACAGCAAGTGCTGCACACACACACTAGGACGAGGCTCTGTACGTACATTGATGTCTGCTCCTTTCAGCAGCAGATACTCCAGGATCTCCAGCTGCCCACAGTCCGCCGCGTAATGCAAAGGCTTCCGTCCACCTTCCAGTGTCCGGTTGACGTCTTCTCCCTGAGAATGGACATGAACTGACAGTGATGACGGGTGGCAGACGCCAGTGAGATGCTGGCTGATTCTTACTTCCTTTAAGTAAAAACGTTGTGCAGTTACGTATTGTGCAGAGGGAAACAACCCTCTGAAGACCTGAAATCTGGTCACCTTCCTGTTAGGAGCCAAGTGCTTAAATACTGTGCCACCATGGCTGCCAATTTCTGAGGAGGTCACTCAGCTTCATGTGGAGATGTGGTCACATCAGACGTGTGTGTTCGAGCCCTGGGATTGTACCTAGTTCACAGACCATGTACCACTAAGCTAGCCATCACTGTCCCCAGGTCATCTCAGTGAAAGCTAATGAGAGGTCACTCTACCCATTCAACAAATATGTATGAGCCCTACTGTGAGCAGGGCAGTCAGACATGGCTTCTGATGCTCGGGGGCTTACCCTCTAGTGGGGGAGGCAAACACGAATCCCACGGGCAATCACATAGCTAAATATATAATCTCAAAATATGAAAAGTGCTATGGTCCCCTCCCCCTGTTCCCCTAGAGAAGTTTTCATTAGCCGAGGATTCATAGTCGAAGACTAACAACAGCTACAATGACCCTTTGCCAAGCAGCTACTGCATGTTTGCACGGCATTACCGCTTTCTCTCTAATTCCCAGTCAACACTGAAAGGAGACAGATCTCCATTGAATATACACAAGTCTAAAGAAAAAAGTGTTGAAGTAACATGCTAAAGTCAAGTACCCTACTTTACAGCCAGCCTCCCTCCTAACTTCCTAGTATCTGAAACACTGTTAATTCTCCAAGGCCATACTCCAACTTCAAGTTCTAACTAGCCTCACAACTCCCTCACACCTCACAACCCACAGGAATCAGCATGGATACAAGGAGTGCCCCTGAGATCTTAAGAGTAGCAATGACTTGTTTCCTTTATCACAATTTGAAATCACTGTATTCGGAGGCATCGCCGATGGACGCCAGGGCTCTAGATCGGACTCCGGGAGCACTGAGAACCTCTCCTAGCTGGGTGGGCGTCAGCATCAGAAACAAACCACGAACTTGACTGTTTCCCAGGTTCTGGGGTTGGGAAAACAGATAGATGCGCATCTCAACTGGCCCTTGGCCCTGCATGGCACCTCATTAGGTGTCCCCTGTGAGCTTGACTGCCCCCACTTCACACAGATATGACCTCTTCCTTTACGCAGACCAGTGCCTCCAGACAGAGCTGTCCCCTCAGGAACTTCTCTGGCCACACCGTCCTGCACCGGAGTACCCTCTGCCCCCCACCCCCCCTCTCCAGCCAATCCCTTGAGAAGGTTTGGCTATCATCCCTTCTTGTTTTCTCAGAACAAGTAACCCTTGCCCTTTTCTTGCCTATATTTCTATGGCTCCTCTCCATCAACAGATGCAACTCATGAATCTTCCACTAAAAATGTCACAATGGACTCTATTCCACAGAGGCTGGCGGAACCCCTGAAACTACTCACCAACTCAACCAACAAGATCCCCTTAAGTCTTCTTAAAACCAAACAACAGGTCAGTGTAACTAGTCAAAGGTGTCTGGCATGAGCATTACTGCTCTTCAAAGAGCTACCTGTATGGGACCAAAGTGACAAGAGCAACTCGGAAAGTTAGATGGGAACTTCGGGGACAGTGAGTGGACGTTAACAGAGGAGGACCAACTCAGAAAGGAGGGCCAGCAGAGTTGTACACCTAGAAGAATGTAATCAACATCACTGGATCCTACATGTAGTTGTTAGGTGTCATGGAATTGGTTCTGACCCTAGAGAGCCTACACACAACAGGACCAAACACTGCCTATCCTGTGCCCACTCACGATTGTCATGTTACAGCCCACTGCTGCAGCTACTCATCAATGCATCTCGTTGGGGTCTTGCTCTTTACGCTGATCCCCTACACTGCTACCTACACCAACAAGCATGATGCCTTACTTCAGGGACTGGTCCTTTCTGACAACATGTCCAAAGTGAAAGAGAGAACCAATGAGCAATCTGGGCAGCGCTTCTTCCAAAACAGACCTTTATTAGTTCTTCTGGAAGTTCAGGGTATAGTCAATATTCTTTGCCAACATCATAACTTAAATGAATTAATTATTCTCCAATCTTCCTTATCCACTATTCAGATTTCACATGTGTATGAGATAATAGAAAAAACTATGGCTTGATTCAGGCACACAGTAGTCCTCAAAATGAACTTTGTTCTTTGAACACTCTGAAGAGGTCTTTTGTAGCAGATGTGCCTAATGCAATCCTCCTTCAATCTCCTGACTGCTGCTTCCAGGAGCACTGACTGGATCCAAGTACACTGAAATCTCTGACAACCGCAGTCATTTCTCCATTTATCATGATGTTACGTATTGGTCCAGTTGTGAGGATTTTCCTGAGTTTGAACTACCAACCTTCCGGTTCAAACTGACCTTGCGCTCCAATGCATTATCCTACAGTGCCACATCAGGACTCCACACCACACCACTGTCGCGATTATGAAATGCTTTGATGATGATGCTAAGTGCCGTCGAGTTGGTTCTGACTCACAGAGACCCCGAATAGGGTTTCCAAGGAGCAGTTGGTGGGTTTGAACCACCTACCTTGCGGTCCAGTGCTTATCACAACTCCCCAGTTAGAGAGGTTCAATTCCTAGTGCTTCTCGGAACGAGAAGGGATTGAGATGATGGTGCTGGAATTCTAAATCAAATGGAACCCAAGAAAGGTCTTAAGACTATTCTACTTTGCCAACTTCTGATTAGTTTAAGGACTTACTTTACTGACAATTTACCTTTTATCAAAATGTAACTTTTCAGGTATTTTTATCTTGTATCTTAAATGTCCTTCGAGGTTAAAGGTCACTCATAAATATAGAGTTTTTAAAATCTCAGTAACAGTTTGCTGTGACTATGATGTTGTTGTTGTTAAGTGCCAATGAGTCACCATAGTGACCCTGTATAGACTTTCTGAGGAGCGGCTGGTGAGCTTGAACCGCCAACATTGTGGTTCAAACGGCTTTACAGTCTGGTCCATTAACCCAGTGCGCTACACCAGGACTCCTAATAGTTCTCATTTAATAGCCAGTGTCTCCGACTTCCATTCACCAAATGTAAATGACTCAGAAAATTTCAACTGCTCTTTTCTGTTTAGTAAAATTTTCGAGCCTTGATGTCCACTCACTCCCTCTTCCCAATGCTGGCCTCGATGCTCTCTCTCTGTTTGTCTCCTTCTCTGGCAGCACGCACACACACCCCTCCCTCTGCTCCTACCCACACCGTGCTTCCCTATTCTTGGCACTGACACCCCACTTCCACACTTGACTGATGGAAATTCCACTTACCCTCCCCCCTCCAGGTTTACTTTCTTCAAGAAGAATGAAGTCCTTGACAACTTTAATCTTTTTCCATTGATAAGAATGTTGTTTATTGGTCCAGTGGTGAGGTTTTCTGTTTTCTTGACATTGAGATGTAAACCATAACAAAGGCTGTGCTCTTTGATCTCCTTCAGTAAATGTTTTAAGGTTGTATCATCTGCATATCGCAGGCTGTTAATGAATCTTCCTCCAATCCTGATGCCACGTTTTTCTTCATGTAACCCAGCTTCATATAACAGTAGTGAGGTTGGCCCAGGATCAGGCAGTGTTTCGTCTGCTGTGCATAAGGTCGCTATGAGTCAGTACCAACTCAATGGCACCTAACGACAACAACAATTGATGTAGAATTCTTCCATTTTTAGTAGTTCCTGTTTGTGCCTCTTATTCTATTTACCTCATTCAATCAGGTATTGGAAGGACAATGGCTTATTTAGATGCTCTGCCTATGAAGCCCAAGGTAACTTGCATACAGCAGTCACATTTAATGAATTAGTGTAGCGACCCACACCATCTTTGTCACACTGTAGATAACCTTCTGCTAACCAAAACCAGTCATTTTGTATCTGCTTCACCAGGAAGCGGGTTATTTTGATAAGATTATCAGTCTCTAGAAGCCACACAAGCTCACAGTTAGGTGATTCGGAATGTTATTGAATCCAACCACCCACCGTGTCTGAATTCTTGCCCAACCTACAAGTGACCATGTCTCCTGAAAAGCAACTCCAGAGCTGGCTGATGTGTCCACCCTTCTCTGAATGCTGGAATAATGACTGTTGATGGCTTCTGCTCCCGCCAGATTTACAATCTTAGAAACACTATGTGTCTAAAGTGACCCCATGTTGTTGTTGTTAAGTGCTGTGGAAAACGTTCTGACTCAAAGAGACCTTGTATAGAGTTTCCAAGAGCGGCTGGTGAGCTTGAACCGCTAACTGTGCAGTCTGACCTGATCTTGTAGTCCAGTGCTTTCCCTACAGCGCCACATGAGGACTTCTAGAAGCAGCAAGTCAGCAATTCATATTTTTATGTGAGATGACTGTTCTCAGCAGCCACATCGCACTGCAACCCAACGACACCTTTTCTTTCTGACTAGCTGTCACCTCAAATTTTGGCCTCTGGTTTTCTGGACCGATTACACCTACTACCATCGCATCCCATCTTATCATTGCCATCTCTTCCAGCCCGTCACCTTCTTTTCAGATCCTCATTATCATCAAGGGGACTTGTTAGTCCTCACCCCCCACTAGCTGCAGCTGCACACCCAGGTCACTCCTCAGAACCACATCAAACAGGGAAAGGCTGAGAACGAGCCCCCCCACAATGAAGGAACTTCCTTCCTAAGCCTGTCACTCACTTGGGAGTTACCATTCAAAACCAAAGGTTACTGCATATTTGCTAAAACGCTGGTGATAAAATTAAAGTTCTAGAAGCTCTAACAATTTGCATACCTTCTGTTATAGATTGAATGGTAACCCCTGGAAAACATATGCTGACATCCTCCTAACCCCTGGTACTAGCAAATGTGAACTGAATTGAAAATAGGGATCTTTGCTTATGTGACTGATTAGTTAAGTTTATACAACAGGCTGGACTTGGGTGGGCTCGAAGCTACTGTGATTAGTGACCCTAGAAG